CCCTTCTCCACCTTCACTTGGCTATTTTCAGTCCTCCGTTTTGCCCATGTCCGCCATTCTGAGGGGCACCATTTTCTTAAAAGGCCCCTTTGGCTGATGGAGAGTTAGTGACTTGGGCGACTAGTTTGGATGAGTCCACTGCGGGGGATAGATGTTGGAAGACATGTTACAATTATGTACATAGTATATCAAAGTACACGTAACTATAATTCTGTAGATAACACCAGGATTTTATTATTATTTTATTTGTTGTTATTATTAAATACACTGCTATGTATTTGTTTCATGTGCACAGATAAAGGTGAGGGGATGTTAATGAAATGAAACTACAAACATGAAATTATTACAAAGATTCTCACAGAGGCTTGGGTCGTTATTTACCTCTAACTACAGAGAGAACCAGAGCTTTCCATGAAACAGGCTCGTATTAGAGGCAAGTCTTTATTTCAAATGTACTCTGCTACAGAGTCACTTAACTGTTTGTAAGGGATGGATTAGACAAAGTCATTAGTGTGTTCTAACGTAACCTGAAAACATTAGCCTATATAAGATAGCTTACTATCTACTAACCAAGCATTACAGGCCAAGAGTAAAAACATCATTTCAAGTTTGTCGGGTAACTTTTTACGTGAAAAAGAGCCTTTCATGACTAGCACCTCCTGGTTGTAGCATTTCTCCACTCTATGGAACCTGCTCTTGGATGCTGGCACTGTTTATGGTAACGTTAGCGTGGAAATTTATTTTTAATCTTTGTTTAACCAGGCAAGTCACTCAGAACTAATTCTTATATACAATGGTGGCCTGGCAAAAGACAAACCTCTTGAGGGAAAGGGGGAGGGGCTTGACGCTACAGATAGATGCATCAGTTACCCTTCATCCTAAAAGCCTTTTCTCTTGTGACGTTAAAAGTCAAACACACCACTTGAAAATATGAAATAATGTAAGCTAAGCAGCCGTGTCCTTATCATACTTAAAATAGTCTAACTAGCTTTACACTGCAATACAATTTCCCCGTCAAATGTATCATCAGCTGGTGAGGATGCTGACTGTGTGGCCGGGACCTGCTAGCTTTAGCCTCACACTTCTAGCACCATATCATCCGTGTAGCTGTCAATTACATATTTACGATCCTTGTACAGGGTTCTCGTTTTAAAATAAGCTAGCTGGAAGTCATTAAAAAGTCAAGTGGAGACAACATTAGCTTAATTACCTAGCTAGTTACAGCGTCAGGTGTCATTTCAGCTGGGGAAACCATGGTTGTTAGACATGAGAAGCCTATTTTCATCTTCTTGTGTCTGAAATCAACCTGCTGCTGTTCTCATTGTAAATTGCAATGAGAACAATGGAGACTGGAAACCTCGACAGCCATAGCAACAGTAACTAAGCAAGAGTCAGTGAGCAGTTAAACAATACTGAAATAATAATAATAGATAACTGAGAATGGTCGAGGCTTAGAGAAATAATCATTGAGAATGGTTGGAGGTATGAGAACACTGCAGTCACAGCAAAGGCAGCTGTTCTAAGATCAGTTCTGGTTCAGGGCACCTGTAGCTTCAACCAATCACTGGCACTGGTTCAGTATTGCATTACTGAATGCAATGGTGAGTGTTTTTATCAGGCGCAATGAAATGGCGTGAAATAGAGGCAGCAGGACGACCAAGAGGCTCATGTTTTATACAACAAGCCAAGCTTCATCATTATAAGCATATTTTATCATATTTTAGTAAGATGCTTCATTGGTTTATGATCTGCTGACACAATTAAAGAGTATGGTCTAGACCAGAGGTATTCAATTAAAATTCAACGGGGTCCAGTTATAGAGAATTCCATCCTTGGCTACGACGTGTCCTGTGGCGAAATGTCCCTGAGCAAGACACTGAAACCCTAACTGCTCCCCTCAGGAGCAGCCCACTGCTCAATGTATACTAGGGATGGGTTAAATGCAGAGAATAAATTTCCCCACTGCGGGACTAATAAGGGATTGTCCTCTCCTCTAAACCACTTGTTTCAGCTCTATTCCACTCTGTTAACATCTTTGTTGGGCAGTGACTGAATGTTAGGATTCTAGTGGCCCCCTGGTCTAGACCATAGATTGTATAAAGATGGACGACATGACAGCTCCACAAAAGTGAAGCCAAAACATCTCGATCGCCCCCTGGTGGCTGGCTGCAGTACATGTCAAAACCCCCACCTCCTCCATGTTAGCGGATGGGACATAGGCCTAACTAAAGTACGTGCCAAATACATTTTTCCAAAACATGGTGTCTGTCATTTTAAGTAGTTCTTATCAAACTGATGTAAATTCTTACCTGAGTTCAGATTTGGTCAGGTAAGGAAATGGACAAAAATGATTGCTAGACCTACGTTCAACAGCATCACTAGAGCCACCAAGATAGAGTTCGGGCCCTGTGAAAGCACAAGAAAAGTCTCTAAGTAGCAGTTACAAATACATACAATGCCAATTCAAATGTCAATACATTTGAATATTATTAAGAAATGTTAAGCAACCCACTTTTGGAACATCTCACTAAATGTTAACTTAATCTGTCATTCTTATAATTAGGAGGTTAGCTTCGAAAAAAATAACAGTGCGAAAATACACAAGGACCATTTACTCTGCTCGATTCTATGTAGAAACAAGATATGTTTGTTTCTTCTTGATTTGAACATATAAAGTAGTTAATAAAATAAAATAAAATAATTTAAATCTAATTATTTTCCTCAAATACTTTAGCCCTACTTACTTGCTAGAATTGAAGAAAGAACATTTGAAAGATGTATTGTTAAAATCATAATTATGAACAGATATTAAAATCAAGCACAATTATGGCACTCAATCTTATGTTATGGCAAATGTACGAAGGAGTCAAATGTCTTTAGTTGCATAGTTCAGAAGAAAAATCCTTACTCCTTATATCACAGAGGTCAACAGGTGAAATATGCAAACTAAGGCCACGTCCACACTACTCCGTTTCCATTTGAAAACGCATATGTTTTGCTACGTTTACACTGAGCGTCCACGCTTTGAAAACACTCCCGAGGACGGATAAGTTTAAAAAACGCTGGGGTTGCGTTTTCGTGCGGTTGAAAACGGATAAGTTTGGAAACACCCGCGTTCGCAACTTGATTGGTTCTTAGCAGTCATGAGGTGTCCTTCCCTGATTCGTCACACTCCTATCACGTGACCGTTTCCCGGAAATCATAAACAACAGCCTTGATTACCGATCGACTACCAGCTTAATTTAACATGGACAACTGATTACAGGTGATGCTTATCTTGTTGTCTTTACGAGCAGCTGTTGTTCAGTTGCAATAAGTCTGCATTATTACGGAGGAAGCAGATGTTATTGGAGCGATCAGCAAGCGTTGTGACCAGCGGCGTTATCAGACCTACGGAGGACGTCTGAAGTCACGGTTAACGGCTTTAGGGAGGGTGATGGACACAAAACGGAGGACTTTCCTGTCCTTATTAATGCTTATTTTGTTCTGCACAACTATTGTGAAGTCCGCAGATAAAATGTAAAGGAACAAAAGCAGTAATTGCTCTCCAGTAGGACAGAGACTTCAGACACCAGCAGAGCTACGAGTGAGAACAACAAAACCGAGGGAACGAGTGAGAGACGTGTGTTGACCACATTGATGGACCCATAATCTAGTAAACCTTTATGTGTAAGTGTTGATTTTAAAGTGAATTTGATGTGAGAGAGAGAGAGAGCAAGACCCGCAGCGCTGTAACCAAGTCTGAAAAATAAAACTTCTAAAACTTTCCACGAAATGTGTCTGTTTGAGTTCATAGAGGAAGATTTTAGAGAAGATCTCAACTATCAAACAACCTTTCATTCTTAGACTAAGTTATTACTTTGTCGTATTTTTTTTAAACTAAGCAACCAATCTACTTCCTGTTTACATCGGCACCATCATGCCCAGTGTACGTGAATAGTCACGTGATATTCGTTTTCAGGCGTTTCATTCTGGACGGAGATCATCTCGAAAACGATGCTGAAACGCCGTGTGGACAGAGATCGTTTTCGTTTTAAAACAGGGAGTAGTGTGGACATGGCCTAAGAGCCGTGAATGAATCATATTTTCTTCTGTATTGTCCAAATTATGAGTTAAGAATATCAATATTAAATGAAATGTCTATTCAAAATCCAGGAATGTTTTGGTGCACTGACGATGACAGAACGAAATGGCTATACGATTTTAATGCGTGAAAGTTTAATGTATCTAGAGTTTATTTTAAGCTTTAGAAACAAATGTAGCTAACTTATAAGCATTAAAATAAATTTAAAACAAACGTCAGGATGGTTTATTTGTTGAGTATTATATGTAATTTATGTTGCTACTCTGGTTTCTGTCAAGTTTTCTAAATAATGGGGCCTTGTACGCCTGTTTTGGGCTAGGAATATGAATTATGCATAACATCTTAACACAATATGTCAATGTATTTGCACAATTACACATCAATGCACTAAAAACGACAAGTAAGTATCTGAATCAAACAAGTACAGTAACTTTATCTAACTCACCGACTCCTCCACTACAATTTCCGGAGCTATATCCATACTAGCTTTCTTGGTTTCTGCAAGGCTCTTTGGTTTGGTTGATTCCTGTCTTTTTGGCTTGGCAGGCTCTGGCGCTTTGGTGGCCTCTTGTGAAGGGCTGGCGGCTGGCAGGGACTTTGGTCCGGGTGCCCAAATCTGTTTGGCAGGTGGCGGCAAGCGCGCCAGGCTTGATGGGTGAAAGTCATCCTCCACACCAATCGGATCCTCGGGTGGCGGGATCTTGACGTCTGCCTTGACATAGTAACCGTGGTACTGGGAGTGAATCTGCCCATTGCTGGGGTAACTGCTCATTGTTGTGGTAACAGCTGGTTTGACCGCTGGAGGAGCCTCCTGCAGCCTCACTTCCTGTCTGAGAGAAAGTTTTGATGCTGCTTTTGTTATGCCTGCCGAGTAACAGAAAGGAGAAGAGGAGGGAAATGAATATCCAAAGAACCAACACAGATATTGTTTGGGGAATTATTTCCAGGTGTCCTTGGGCAAAACACTGAACCCTAAATTGCTCCTGATGGTCAGGCCAGCATGTTGCACGGTAATTCACTGCCATCGGTGTGTGCGTATGTATTATACCTGGATAGCAATTGAGTGCAAAAGCAATATAAAGCAGTCCATTTCTGATCATCAGTTAATTGTGCCAGAGCAACAGGAAAAAACAATCAGCAGCAAACTTAATAATATCAAACTCAAAAACAAGAGGCCAAGTATACAGGCAATCGGCTCAAAGTCAGTGTATAAGACAGTGTCCATGCACTCAGCTGTGCTATCACTATTAGCCTCTTCCAATCGCGGGCCAGTTAACAACAGTGAGTGAGGAGTCAGCAGGCAGTCAACAGCAGTGAAAAACAGGCAATAAAAGGTGTTTTGAGAAAGTGTGAGTCACCGTAACCACAACAGATAAGATAACATAATCTTTTATCAGTCCCACAGTGGGGAAATTCACAGGATCACATCAAGATCCATCAGCATGCAGCCATACCTGGCCACTACAACTATTATGTAGTTTGCTGCAGCAGAATGGGAGTTTAGCCCTGGACAGACACAGAGGTGCACACTCACTCGCAGACACGTAATAATGAATCACACTGCTTTTCTAGGCAAGACCCGCCCTGTGTAGCTGGTTTAGGCAGAGACGATGGGTTAGGATTAGGCATTGACTTTGACTAGTTAGGGTCAGGATAACTCATTGTTCAGGGCATAGGACTTGAACAAATCAGGTTACTGGTATAATGATCAGCATGGTTGCCTGGCCAATCCGTGTGCTTTAATGCTACGCAGGGCAAGTCTTGCCAAGAAAAGCAATGTGAATCAGAATAAAGCCCTACGAACGAATGCCAACACGCGACTGATTGCATGATCCTCGATACGGAGATGATTAATGGATAAGGAAGTGACTATTCTGCACTTTTATAGGCTACTTAAGATCCCTGGTTTCTGAGTCAGTTACTCTCTTACAACTGACACTGCTGGTTGCTGTGTTGCTGCAGTAATCATCGTTAAATGCCACATTTGCTGCTAAAATGACTGCTGCTCACCATGTTGCTATTCATTACAGCTGTTGACTTTGTTGCTGTTCCCTTGTGTCTACACAAGTAGTGTAGTTGCTGCAAAAATGATTGCTGCTACTCACCAAGTTGCTCTTAACATCATTGCTGCTGCTCCACAAGTTGCTCCTAAAATAATTGCTACTCTTCACCAAGTTACAACTAAATCATTGCTGCTGCTTACCAAGTTGCTCTTTAAACTATTGCTGCTGCTCGCCTTGTTGCTTCTTCACTTATTGTTGCTCTTCATCATGTTTCATCACCTAACATTCATTCAGCCCCTCTCAATAAACAGTATTCCTCTCTAGACATGCTAGCTGTGCTCAAGGCCTCGGCACCAAATCGATGCTGACACTCCTCCAACACAAACATGGATACTGTTCATTATAAAACCATCAACTGACATGTAGCTGAATATATAATTGAACATATATACAAATATTTGATTCTATTATATTCTAATTTAAATAAATGTTCTATGTTTGTGTCTAGTCTGAATGGGGGTAAACCTTACATTTCATTGTACAACCCTGTGTTGTAAAATGACAAATAAGTGAACATTGTAACCTTGATGACTGTTAATTGCTGATGAAGGATGTTTCATGAGAAAGACATGCTTGCCAAATTAAAAACAACCCAAGTGGTTTACCTGCTGTCAAAGACTCAGCCGCCGGGGTTTTGTTCTCTTTCCCAGCATGCTTCGTTGGAGCGACGGCGGCGGTAGCCTTACTGCTAAACAAGGTATTTTTAACAACAGTGGGTGAAGCAGTGGGGCTGGGAGATGGAGACGGGTCGGGTGTTGTGCCTTTCCGGTAGAAATGAGGGCTCCCTGATGGAGATTTCTCCTTTTTCTCCTCCACAGGAATCTCCTTCACCTCTACTGGCTCATTATACTTCTGCCGTATGTAGTCCGGGCCTGAAAAAACAGACAAGTAAAGAAAGTTATATTTCACAAGGATCACCTGCATCTTCTCTTCCAAATAAGATGGGTGACCTGGAGGATTATTCACAACCTGTCTGATCACCTGACCGCTCATGTTTCTTTACCTGCTGGACTTAAATGTATTAGTATGATAGGATTGATGGCTAAACTATGAAAATAAGACCAATGTTGTAATACATTGGAATTGTTCTTGAAGATTTTCTTTTGGGAACGATCATTCAGTACATGAGTGCAAGACAATGATCACTGTCTTATCCTACTGTGCATTGACTGTAACTACAGGAAAGGGAAAGGGTTCAAAGGAGACACTGTTTGGAACACAACACAGAGCTGTCGATGAGGATCAGTATCTGTCAGCGGCTTACAGTTTGAAACATCAGCTACAAATGGGAATTCATTATTTGTGAGTGGAACTTCCAGCTGAAAGTATAAACACATAACTACATTGCAGCATTTAAAGACAACTCGTGTAGTTTTATCATTCTGTTATTCTTTCTTTTGCTGCTGTCTATTGTAAATAATTAAGAGCACAATGAAACCGGTAATTGTTCATTTTAAAGACCTGGTTTTAAGAAACCATATTTACTATTGTTCTTAGAACACTATGGTATATTACATGGGAGAAGGCATAGATAGACTGGATATCCACGTTTGTAGTTTTATTTTGTTCAGCCTTTCTGTATGGTCCTTTTATTCTCCTGTCATTCTCACCACATGTCTGGTGGACTACAGTGATGTCATAGATGTGAACTTGTCCACCCAGAAAGTCCACATTGCCATTGAGCTGAGCCATGTGGGATCTAATGCCTCTTTTCCACTGCATGGTTGGATTCGACCCGACTCTACTCAACTCACTTTTGGTACCATATACATGTCTAGATTTTGTTTTCCACTACAGATAGTAGGTGGAATTTTTAGCTGATCTTCATAGCAACGAAGCGTGAAACTGTCATCTTCAACTGACACAGCCCTGGCTGGCAGCACCTCGCCAATTGTATTGCATGGTTCTGCTGGCTGCCGTTTAAAAAAAAAAAAAATCTCGGTCAAGTGATAAAAAAATGCCGTTGTTATTGACTGTAGCTTGGCTTTTTAAAGATGTTTGTGCAGGATGTCCCGTGTACTGACTGAATTCGAGCTAACTGCTAACCACTAACGGAGTAGGACGAAATGAAAGCATGATTTGTTTTCTTGTTTCTTTCACTTTGAATTTCATCCAATGAACATGTGTCACTCAAATGTAAACTTATTTGAGTGTTGTAATTACTATTCATGTCATTCAGAATGGCCCCTCGCTGCTCTATTGGCATCCTGTTATGGTACCACCAATAAACTCATGTGTCACTAAACCCTTTCCATTAGCAGGTGGCCTTTACTGGCAAACAATGATCTTCGTAATCTGTTCCTCCACTTTGGCACTAAACAACATCAGCTAAGGGCACGTCTGTGATTATTGTTCAAGCTTTTGTTGCAATAACTTAATATGATGATATTATCTTGACATCACAAGTTAATGATCTTTTTCTCCTGACAATTAGACACTGTTATCTAAAGGAAACAAGATAACAAACACGTTATCACAAGACAGAGATTCTTATCCCATGATAATTAACTCTTGATCATGCTTGATTACCTACAAATCACTTGAGTTCAGTCAATCATTTCTATCATTTGTAATGCAGCCCTCCATCCAGATGTCATGAATCACAGACTTTGTGAAAAGTCTCCGACCCTCTCCATAATATATATTATATCACTGCTTACTGCGATATTAATTGTTAACATTAAGGCCATGTCTTTGAAATCAACATCAAATCGGGTGACCCCCTCTGATGCAGAATGAATGCAGCACTGTATAACTTTTAGAAAAGAAGCATCATTTCTATATTCTACTGCTTTCAGAGGCAACATAAAAGACAGATTTTTCAGTGTCTTTAGCATTTAATTCACCTCATGCTTCTCCACTGTGCTGTGTCTGGCTGTGCTGGTGCTGCTGTTACAGTACCTGGCTGGTGGAAGCCCGGGGAGAGCTCTCTGGCCACAGCCCTGGCAATGTCAGAGTCCTGACTGGCTGACTGGGCAGCCTGGTCTGCAGCCTCTGCTTTGGCCCGGGCATGGGACGTCCTGTAAAAAGGACACAAATATAATATGTAAACTCAGTGAGTTTAGCATCCAGCAAGTAACCAACATACTCGCACAGCATAGTTGCCCCCATTTTGCTACGCTACATGCTATATACATACACACACATATGCCTTTTTTAACCCAGGTTAACGGCTCCCTTTGCCTGGGGCTAAGACAGACTTCACACTTGCACGATCCTGGCACATTCCAAAGTGGGCTAACCCGACTTTATCCTGCAGCTTGCTGGCCCTGCTCCCGAGTTTGCAGGGTTAAACACGGAGCTAAAAGCTGCCAGTGTGAAATGGGGCTAAAGTAAACGAGTTCTCACAGGACATTCTAGAATGTAAACATTAGTCACGTGCTCCATCAGACATCTAACCCGGGCCTGGTAGAGGTGCGGTGTGAGTAGTATAAGGTTTAGGTTAACCTTGGGTTAACAATGTGTGTGTGAAAACGGGGCTAAGTTATCCCAGCGTAAACTCTTTATGTGCACTGTGAAGAGCCTGCATGTCTACAATAGGGCTGCAACAACTGGTTATTTTTCATCATTAAGTACAGGATAACAATACTTCCAAGTATTTATAAAAAGATAGTATAAGGGCATACGAGTTTGTGCATATGATGAACAACATCATGTAATATCGGATATTATTTTTAACGGTATATAAACAACAATTAAAATAGAGTGTGTGTCATTTTCTAATTCTGTATTATTTTCAGCTGCAGGTTGTTTATTTGGCTTCCAATTTTTTCTTGTGCTTAGTGACTAAAAACTGCTACTGTGACTGGACCCTCACTCACACTGAGGAGCACATTAATCCATCATCCCATGGGGCACTTTTATCCACTCAGAACTGGTGAGACAGTGAAGAGTAGAGTCTTGAATACAGTCGGTACCCTGACTAGTACTGCCACATGAGAGATAGAGAGTGACAAATATACATCTCTACATTTGAAATCCCAAAGCCAGGTTTTGCTACTCAGCTCAAATGCTAGCAGAACCCCGAAAGAAAATGTAAGGTTACAGGAGAAGCATGTCATCTATATAGGAGTACACGCAATGTACTGTGCACAGCGTTTGATGTAAGTGGGATCATCACATAACAAGAACCCACTGTTTAGATTCACAACTATACAATATACAAATAAATAAACCCACACTAGAATTACCGCCTCCAGGGTGTAAGCCTCTGCCAACCAGTCAAGTTGCATAATACATCCATGTCCGTCCAAAATATCATCACTTCATCATTTTATCCTATTGGATATTAGAATTGTCATAATTAGCATATTGATTATTGAGTTATGGACAAAACACGTTTCCTGAGGTCACAGTGACCTTTGACCATCAAAATCTATCAGTCAGTCAAGTGGACATGTGTGCAAAATTTGAAGAAATCCCCTCCAGGTGTTAGTGGGATACGTTCAGTGGCCTTATTATTAATCACATTAACCTCAGTGATGAGTGCAAACCGTCTGTGCCATTGCCTTTGCTTGCATCCATGAAAACTTGTATATCTTGTAAATCTATAGCTCTTGTAAATCTATAGCACAACACTAGAGCACTAGGTAGGGGGGAGCCCCGGATTGCCTCTGGGTATTTCACACACATGAGGCCTCATTTCATCCTTGAGTACAAGTGGACGTTTGTGTTAAATTTGAGGAAATTCTGAAAACATAATGCCCCCGGCTGCGGCTGGCGCCCGCACGGAGGCAGGAATCCATTTAGCCTCTCTTTTTTAGCCAACGCTAACCGATTAAATGACAAACAGGGCCAACGGCAGGTCAGCTGTCGCTAACTCACGTTCGCTCCGCCAGTAATTCAACGACAGGCCAAAATTGAACTTGTCTGTACCCAGACACAATGTGTTTGTGAGTGAAGAACCTAAATGTCACTTACCACCAGTAGGTGACATTTAAAACTGATCCCCCGCTGGTAAATAACCAGTGTTGCAGACAGCTGTCAGTAATACCATGGCTAAATACATTCTAATAGCCTGTACATCCATGTTACATCCAGAGATGGGCAAAAATATATCAAAATGTATTTTGATACAAAATACAAAATACCCCTCAAATAAATGTATAAAAATAAAATACAAAATACTGGTGCCAGAAAATGTAATAAAATACAATACATGTATTTTGTATTTAGGAAATACTTTTTTCTGGATTTTCCGTTTTCTCATAATTTGGTATAGCAGAGCATTCAGGTTTGGGCTATATAATGTACACAAAGCTCTGGTGAAGCCCACAAAAAGGAAGAACAGTCACAGAATGTCAGTGTAACTAAGCAAAGCTATTAAAAGACAACTTGATTGATTATGTATATATATATTTTTTTATTAATGGGACTTAACAGCCCATAAACTTGTAGAATGTATGAAATAATAAAACTAAGAATACTTTAATAATATGCCTTTTAAATAAAATATATTGGATATTTAATGTTTTTTTTTTTTTTTTTTAACAAATGGACATCTACTGTCATAGCCTGGCTAACTGTGAACTATATTATCTTTTCTATTCTATCTATTATTATTAATTGATATGGCATTATGACATTCACATTGAGAAGATACAGTATAACTTGTAATACAGTGCAAGATTAGATGGTCAGACGTCTCTTGATAAGGTTATCATGAACATACAAGCTCCGATCTCCCTCTTCCTATATAGCTAGCTACTCCACTGATATGTTAACTTGCTAAACACTGGCTATGCACTAGCCTAGACAGCATGCTAGCGTCATTAGCATGTTAGCATCGATCGCTAGCTTGATATTATAACCATCACCATGTATATAGACAGCATGCTAGCGTCATTAGCATGTTAGCATCGATCGCTAGCTTGATATTATAACCATCACCATGTATATACAATAGGCTATGTAGCCAGACCCAGACATAGATTATACATCAAGCTAGTTGACATCTGTCACACTCAGATAAAATATTTAACTTGACAGACAATCCGTTGAACTTGAAGATCTGAAGACTGAACTCGTGAACTGTTTTTTGATTCGTGGAGAAAGTATTTTGAGTATTTTAAATACAAAATTACTCCACTCTAAAGTATTTTGTTACAAATTACGTTAGATTTTTTATCGGCCCTATCAAATGCAAATTACAAAATACTCAAAAGTAATTGAAATAAGTATTTCAAATACAAGTCATAGAAATACTGCCCATCTCTGGTTACATCCATGTTACATCCATGTTGGCCTCTTGCTAGCATAGCCGAGGGTGCTGACGCAGCACTGAAATGATCCAAAAACCTTTTTTGGCATTACAGTATATTATCTGTTGGTGCCACAAACCCCTCTGCAGTAAAATAGTTCCACAATGAACAAAAGCTTGAGTGTTTGAATCGAGGATAATTGGTGTTCCTTGAGGAATTGTTACTGGTATGGCTTAAAGCTATGTGTGTATTGTTTTCTGTCTTGCATTGTTACTGTTGGCCATGGTACTATTTCTACACTATTTAGTGAAATCAATTTAAAATCGACGTAGAGCCACAACAGAAACCTAACCAGGGAAGCTCTGGTCCAAAGGTCAGCCATGTCATCACTAGAGTTCTTCCACACTGACCAAGAGAATATCAGATACACACTACTGACTGACCGTGTGTGTGTAGGTGGGGGGGG